CCCCCTCGAGCCAGCGCGTGGTCTGCTAAGTCGTAATATATGTACTGTATTTTTAACAACAATGAATGGTGGATTGCACACAAACTTCAACATGACTAGTTGTGGCGAACGTCTTCATATTTGTATATGTCTTCGTATCTAATAGAAGTACTTGGTATGTAACTAGTTGTTTGCCCTTTTTAGTGTAAATCTGGACATTGTTTCTTTGCCCTCTTTGACGGGGTGTATTTCGTAGGCAAACGTCACCCGAGGACGATCCCCGGATACTATTCCCTCCCCCGTTGCATACGTCCATCTCTCTCTTCTCTTGTTGTCGAGACACGTACATGCACGGGGTGAACATGGCAAGGTGTATTGGCATGCTCATGTCGGGGTCACACGGAAACACATGTCGTGCTCGAGGGTGCGAAGGTTCATCGCGAGATTTTCGACGTCTAATGTAATTACGCCGGGCAGGGGCGCCCAGAAGGCGATGAAAACCAAACGCTTACTACATTATCGACAAAATGTTTTTTTCACACACACGTCTCTTTGCTTGTCACGATCTGCTAGGCAAGGCTTGCATTTATGACATTCTTAGTATGCATGGCACAACGAATCCATCGCTATCTATAGAAAATAGTCTAGGCGGCTTGCTTTTACGGCTGGGGGTGCCTTGGCACAGCCAACAAGACTACTCGCAAAAAGGTCCACACAAATAATTTATCGTGGGAATAGACTATAGTCTGCAGTTTTAAGGAAGAGCCCCCAAAAAACATGCAACTTTTGTCCCCTAAAAACACGTTCGTGTAGCCATAGGAACATTTAGTTGACCGGACTGAGCACAACAACGTGTTGCAGAGCTCTCTCGTTGTTCGTCAAAAACAACATTGCCTACATACTAAACAATTGTTTCCGGAGTTAGTTGTTGTTGTTTCCCGCTGTTCCTCCGATGAGTTTTTACCCAACAAACGCAACTCATCGACGCACGCAAAGGCCAGCAAACACGAAACATTTTAGTGAGGTATCGGCTATCTCGCGTCCAATCCGAGCACAGTACCTCGCACTCCCTCGCAAGGTGTTTCCCGAAATCTGGTCATTGTACACATCGACCATCACCCCTACAAGACTCCCCCCCTGGATTTTAATGCACATGATGTAGGAAATCCTTTAATCATAAACTACATCCCTTCTATGTTCCCCTCTATAGCCGCTTGACATATATGTTCATCCAACTTCCTACGCCAGATTTGAGGCCCTCCCAATGGCCATGATACTAAGGATGAGCCCAAACTGGAGGGTAGGCACACATACTACTGCCTGTAGATGAAATACGACCGACACCCCACCATCCGGACCAGTGCAGGCGTCCTTATGGGATCCTACGCAACAAATCGAAACAACCCGATGGCCTCAATTTTCCGCTGGGCAGAACGTTTCTGTTTATTTACTACTCACACAACGTGGGACAGAGAAGACTAGAGAGCCCCTCCCCGAAAAAAATTAACACAAGTCGGGCAGGCTATCGTAGCTTTTCATGTAGTCGATGTTCTTGTCCCCCTTGAGGCAGATATCATCGGGGACCCGGTTGTTTGTCCAGACAACGTCTTCACAATCCTCGAATCGGTACTCCTCGCCGCTGCTGTGCTCGTAGAAGTTGTTGTCTGTTGACATTTTCGATTTCCAGGTGGAAGGACGCGCGACGAGGAGGGCGTTAGTCTAGACAAGATGGCGTTTGTGTTAAGCCACTATTCCGGGCGATAATTCCGTCCAGCGTGTGTTGTCGGGCACCCTTAGCGGTTGGCTCAGGAGTGGTTTGTGGAAGAGGGGTGGCACAGGGCAGCCCTGCAAGTGTAGTGACCAATTGTCCACGATAGCGGGATACACTCAACGTCTTTGGATGCTTCTCCCGACAATTCAAGCCAAGAAATGGGCCTGCGCCCCAATTTGTGCTGCTGGATGTTGGCAACATTTCATGCAGCACTTAACGCAACTACTATTGTACGCCAGGACCAACTTCATGTTACTGCGTTTATCGACGTGTTACTCCCAGCAGCCGATGATCACGACATTGCACCGGAGGAGAGGCTGGGGGAGAGGAACCCTTTTGAGTGACGACGGATTGGAGCTCCTACACGGCAGAAATGCTGGTGCACGTAAACGTAACAACCAAAGAGCATCAAACGAGTTGCCAAGAAGCGACTTGGGAAGAAACAAAGGTGTCCTACATAGAACAATACGCCAAAACGCCCTTCAACACATTCCAAACGTCGTACTCGCTGCATGCTGTTTCTCCTGTTCTTCCCTGATGCTTCCTCCTCGTGGTTTTCTTGTAGAATCGCCTCGCACAACGACATTGATCAACGTTAGCTTCGACAAGTGTGAACGAGCATCCATCTGCGAACTCGTTCGCTTCCTGCAACATCAATTCATTTCGACTTTGGGACTCACCGGTAAAGACGATTCCCTCGGCCTTCTGGATCTTGACGCCGCCCTCAACAGTGTTGGCATGGAAGGTGTTGTCCACCAACAGTCCGTCCCAGTCTTTGGAGGCCTCGGGTTTGTCGTTTCCTTGGTACGTGTAGATGCCGTCTGAAACGTCAACAAGATGGCAGGAAGAAGCAGAGTGTGATTATGGCATGTTGGCATCACAATAAGGGTGAATGTTTTATGAGCTCATCTAAAGTCGTTCTCTTTCACAAGCCCCCTCTCTAGGCGCCAAGTCTTCCGCAACTCTCGACTGGTCCCCGAGCAACGAGGGAAAACAACGCAATAATCCACAACATTCTCCCCGCTAGCTAAATAGACCCCATGGTGTCGCGGTAGGTAGTGCTTTTCGCAGGCATGTATCGTGAAAGTGGGCACGCACTGAAAGCCCGGGCCAACTTCAATTTGTCTGTAGGTTTCCAAATAAACATTTTTCACGACGGAGGGAAACATCCTAGAAGATTCCCGTGTTTTTCTGTTTTAGGGAGCGGAACAAGACCACACAGAACTTACATTGGTCGCATTCCAAGAAACTGTTGTTCTCCACAATGTTGCGCGCAGCACCGACAGAGAGTCGGATGCCGTATTTGACGTTAGTGAAAGTGTTGTCGTGGATATGAGCGCCCATCGACTCCATGATGGCCATGCCTGCATCCTTCATGTCGTAGACAGTGTTGCCTGGCGCAAGGCGTACATATGGTCGCGAGGAAGGCGAAATTGGGAGAGGATCGAGGGTCGAGAGTGAACGATGGAACAGGGCATCGTTTAGCCTGCAGCAAGAGGAAACGAGGCGAGTATGGGAGAGGGCACGCTACGCCAGCCAGAAATGACATCTACCCTCGCTGTCAGTTTGGTTGCTTCGGGCTGTGCCCTCTACAGATACATCGCTTCGCCTGCACACAGATATTTGCAACACAAGCAAGCACGGCGAAGTCGTCGGTTGGCTTAGGGCCGTTTTTGCCAGAGTACTTATTTTCCAAGTACTTGGAATGTTTCCAGATTTGGAAACGTTGCGCGGCGAGTTCGAGGGCAATAACTTTGGAAACTTTCCAAGAATTTGGAATCTACCTTTCCAAAATTTTGGGGCCCTGGTCACTTCCAAATTTTTGGAATCTGGAAATTTGAAAAAAACAGCCTAAAACGGCCCTTACCCCAGACTTCACAGTCGTCGGAGCTTCGGTGGAGGAAAATGCCGACCGCGCCTTCCCCCCCATCGTAAACGGTGTTGTGGTGGATCTTGACGTTGTTGCAGCGCTTGGAGGCGATGATGCCTACGCGAAAAGCGCACAGCAAGCAGCGGGGAGGAAGATTCGTCATCGAACCCCGCCGGAACGTCGTACGATCCACGTTGCACGCCGCGGGTTTGGTCTATCGGAACCCAAGCATCCGCCTTTTGGGCACCACCGTGGACTACTGTAGTACCGCTATCAAACTGTCTTGCGGGACGGCCATCTTGGTAAGAACGGCAGCAGTACAGTAGCAGGCTATTTCTCTGACCTCTGCGCAGCCTCGGCTCACCATCGGGTGGTAGGGTGAATAGAGACACATGCTAGAGAAACGAACATGGGCTGATGCCCTCGAAGGGCAGGGAGCTTGCTCTAGGTGCGATGACGGCAACAGGCGAGACCGAACAAACAGCTTCTCTCGTACCGTGGTTTCCGTTCCCCCAGACAGTGTTGTAGGCGATCTCCAAGTTGTCGGAGTCGTCGTGGGGGTCGAAGCCGTACTGTGCGTTGTCGTGCATCTGGGAATATTTTCGATCGATCATCGTCACAACCACCACCACCGGCAGCAACATTCACGGGCAGGGAAAAGGGAAAAGTGAGATCAAACGCAAGCAGTAATGCCGTAGAAAGCAGGTCTTGAATGATCGGCTATTTTGTTCAGAGCCCTCTATGTCAACGTTGGGCCACATCCCCCAATCCTCGTCATCAACTACACAAGCATGGGGTCACATTCGGATATCGCATACCAGACTAGTCTATTTGACCTGTTTCCGAAGTATTATTTTTTTGTCTTCAGTTCAAATCAGCGCTCACAACGCTGGTGTNGGGGGTCGAAGCCGTACTGTGCGTTGTCGTGCATCTGGGAATATTTTCGATCGATCATCGTCACAACCACCACCACCGGCAGCAACATTCACGGGCAGGGAAAAGGGAAAAGTGAGATCAAACGCAAGCAGTAATGCCGTAGAAAGCAGGTCTTGAATGATCGGCTATTTTGTTCAGAGCCCTCTATGTCAACGTTGGGCCACATCCCCCAATCCTCGTCATCAACTACACAAGCATGGGGTCACATTCGGATATCGCATACCAGACTAGTCTATTTGACCTGTTTCCGAAGTATTATTTTTTTGTCTTCAGTTCAAATCAGCGCTCACAACGCTGGTGTCGTTTACTCCAACCCGTGGTCACACAGAAGAGCCCCTCTCTCCCCTCCCCTCCTGCGGTACTTTCCCTTCGTTTTTTAATGCGAAAAGAGTTCAGCACTCTCTTCCCTCTGTGTACACACGAATTAGCGCTATCCATTAGGCCAGGAGCGGAAGCGAGAGAAAAACTCACTGTGCAAGAACAGCTCGCTTACGCCGGGATTCGAACCCCTGACCTATCCTTTAGGAGGTTTCGAGGATACCAACTAGACCACTGGGGCGACCGGTAGGTATGTGATCGACAGATGGTCCAGAAGACAAAACAGCCTCCATGCGGTGTGCTGACAAATTTTGCAAGCAGAAACGACGTAAATAATGCGAGCGGGGCCTGAGCAATGCCGGCACGTATGTACCTTGTTCCCAGTCCATATTCCTCCGTCATGGCCGAAGGAGTAGTGGCCGTAGTACATGCCGTAGATATCCGAGTCGATGATGTCACCGCGGACCTGGTTCATGTGTGGAATTCGTGGTATGCAGCACACACGAAGGAGAGACTTGCTCAGCTGGCGCAGCTAGGCGTGTGTGTTTCACGAGGTCAAGAGAAAAAACTGGGGTAAACTACTGGGGGGATCGCGATTAGCATTCATTCACCGTCCAAAAACTAGTTGCTATACAGGCAGGCATCGACAAATCAATTTCATCAATCGAATTTATTTCGATGGAAGTAGGGTCAATGTAGACTAGAGCTGTCATAGATGGCCCAAACTGTTGGTGTGCGGGATGGCGCCCTTCAATCGAGTATGTAAGATATCCTGTCGTCACCAATGCCGACAACAAGATCACCAGATCCCCCGCCCCCCAAAACTACAACCAATACGAAAGCCGCGTCAACATCAACAGCAGCAGCAACAACAACGACGACGACGTAACTAAACTGGCGAAGCGACAGGTTGTTAGTGAACAGCAGCAGTAGCTGCTGCGATTCCAAAGACCAAACAGCGACTCGTCCATAGTTACCCGGGTGCGCTCGAAGACTTCCGGGTTGGGGTCCTCGGAGCAGTACCCGCGGACTTTCCAAGAGATACCGTAGCTCTCGGCGGCGTCGTAACCCATTTCCCCCATTTCAGATCTGATGATATCCTGCACGGTGAGGTTTCGTCGCAGTCGTGATTTTTGTGCACGCTTGGTATGTTCTGAACGGGGGGATCGGTAGTCGTAGTTGTACGGGTAGAATGCCTTGATGGGGCGGAACAGGAGAATCAATGTACTTCCGCCAGTCGAAAGCTAAAGCTGTCGAGTTAGAGGGAGACATTCGTCGAGTGAAACTATCTTTGGACATTTGGAGACTACACTGCATGTGGCCCGCCACGCAGTTGTTTTCGCAGCTGTTTGCGCAGCTGGTTACCAATTTGATTAGTTTTTTTTTATGATTGTGTACGTCGAAAGACTTTTCAAGCTCAACTGCTGTAGTCTCCTTGCGCGCAAAACCCGTGGACGATGACAGGACAAAGGGAAACAATAGTGGAGGTGAGCACACGGGACAGCTGGGGAGACGCGCCGACCAAGAGCGTTGGACCCGAAAATTAAGCCGAACTTCAACTACATAATCAACATGCCACCATCATACCCTCGCTCTCCTCTCACCATCCTGCACTCCCCCATGTGGTTCACTGCATGCCCGTCGCACGTGTCCGGCTTGTCCGCAAGCTCCTCGCTGACACACCTGATGAAGGACCTCTCCTTTTTATAGTTGGTGTTCACCTTCTTCTCATCGGTGTCCCAGGATGTGACCTGCGCATTTGAACAGACGAACCCACCAACACATAGGATGAGGGACGCAACGAGCCGTCAGGACGAGGAGGGTCGGCGACGTGGTGAAACCATGTCGTCGCGAGTGTTAAACCTCGCTGTTGTTGTGACTCACCACGAGCAGATTGAGAGCGGTGACATTCAGGTGCATTTGACGACGTCACCTGAAACACGCAGTACCACAAACATGATACCATCACCACCCACTTCAGCTACACAGCAAGCCCCGACAAAAGAGTAAAACTGCCAGGAGTATCTTCAATATCAACAGTGACGTGGCAGGCCTTCGCAATGTAGCAATGTTGAATGTTGCGGGATACCTGGGCACGATACCAGCACGTTCGAAATACCGCTGACGCTGCCGCCACCGGCAGCAGCAGCAACAATACCAACCACTGCAACAACAACCGCTACCTTGGTGTCCATGAAAGACAGGCTGCCGCCGTGGCCGCGAATCTCGTAGTAGTCCCTCGATCCGGTGGACTGGATCCGAAGAACTCTGGCGTCTCCGCCAGCGTCCGGCCCGTGCACCTGATCCATCATGACGCCCGAAAAACACCACCGCGATAGACGTTCACGTGTGCTGGAGCACTGTGTGGTTGTGTGCTCAAACTGAATGCAAAGTCTTATGTTTGAATTCACATCCAGTGGATGAACTCTGTTGCGCAAAACACAATTTTCTTGAGGGGCAAGACATAACGTTGTTAACAGGGGTGAAAAGAAACAACAATGTTGGTACCAGCATTTCGCTGCTGCTCAGCCACGACGAGAGGCAAGACAACTTCACCTCAAGACGAATTTACCCAGGATGAAAACATCACCATATAGATCCTTTACCTGAAGCAATGAGCCCTCTTCGACATGAATGTCCCTCATCAGCAACCAGTACCCGGTAGGGCTTCCGCCCACAACATTGTCGTTCGAGTCGAGCACGAACAGGGGGCCGTCGTCGTTGTGCCCGCCCTGGGCGGTGTAGATGTCGGTTAGGGTGGCGCATCCCCCTCCCCTGATGTCTGCGGATGTTTGAGGAAGCCCAAAGCACGGTTCAAGTTGACCAGGCGAGGGCAGAGCGGTGGGCGATATTCGAGTTCGGGTCGGGAGCTCGCGGCTGCGGGTACCACATGTTTCAGTGATTGTCTCTTGCAGCTACAGGGCAGCTACAGGGTGCAAGTTGGACACTGCTTCGGTGCAACCACCATCATTGTGCCAATTAGTTGAGCGAACCGGGATGATGAGGGCGTTGCCAGAACATCCCACGTATTCCACACCCTACTTCATAGACGACGTCCCTTGCACTAGGGCACGAACAAGTGAAGAGGCAAACATGCTGGCCCTGTGGCACCTTCTCTACCATGGCAACTCAAGCCACCGTAATGCACCGAAGGGGCTAACGGTGTTACCCGTCCACCACCATCAAGTAAGGGTGCACGATTGTCTGCTGACTTGGTGAAGAAAAAGCAACGGCAATGGTCCTACAAAGCATGCGCGTAGGCACGGCCTCTCTGGAGCCATGCTTGCCTTTTTCTTACACGTGGTCCTCGAAAGCTCAATTTCTTCTTGGTTTGTAATATTGCGGTCAACAACCCCCATTGCTATCGCCCATTGGGCAGAAGAAGGAAATCCTGCCTGACGGGGTACTACAGAATGTGGTTATTGTGTTAGATAGGCTTGCCCCATTAGACTACTCAGTCAGCGCTGACTTTGAAATCTAATGGGATAAGCCTTTCTCACAAAAGATACACTCTCGGCTCGTAGCCACCCAGATGACCACTTTCACAAGCACCCTTAGTTCTTTTCCGGCAGCGCCTGGCGAGGGGTCCGCCCCCGGAGGTTCCGACTTCGAAATTCCCAGTGATCAGCTGGGTGGTTTTGTTAGTGAGGCTTACCCCATTAGACTATCAGTCAGCGCTGACTTGGTAGTCAAATGGGATAAGCCTTTCTAACGTATCATCGACGCGGTAACCAAGGTAACGTATTCGTCTGACTCACAGTTCTTCCCTCCGTTCTTCTTCTCGCTAGTTTCGACGTTTTTCTTGATTTCGATTGTGACGGTGGATTTGCTGTAGTCGGTGCAGGTGGAGGTGAACGTCGTGCCGCCGGTGGTGGTGGTGGTCGTCCCATCGACGGTCGTGGTGGTCGTCGTTGACGCACCTGCGGCGAGCGCGCGGTTGAAAGCGCGCAGCGGGCGTCACACAAAAAGAGGGGGGGGGGGGGGGGG